AAATCGCAAGGACGCGAGAATACGATCTTTCGATCCATTCAAAAAACAAGAATAATCATGGCATAATTACTCATAAAAAAAATAAATAAATAAAAATTATAATTCCAAAATTTTAATCGAATGAAATTTGAGTAAAAAACAGATATAAACAAGTTAAAAAGCAATAAGTTCGGCCGGGCCGAACTTTGAATACCCTCCACCATTTGGAACGTATTTGGAAATTTTCAAAAAATAAAATCCTTAAAACATTCTGTTAAAATTTTAAAAATTAAATATAGCCGAATATATTGGGGTCTACACGACGTGGACCTACATAGGCATTGTTTGCCATTACCATATTCAAATTCTAAACTTGAAATAAACGGTGAATAATGTAGCTAAAATCATCAAAATATCGTATATAGGGAGGTACCGTTATATCGGAGCTGTGCGAAGACCTGGCCCAGCATAGACAATTTTCTGTCGCAGGCTATATCATCCATTACTAACGTCAAATACGATATCTTAAACAATTTCGGTGGGTATTGTACCTAAACTCGTCAAAATACCGAATATAGGGAGGTACTGATATATGGGGCCTTTACGAAGACCTGGACCTGCATAGGCAAATTTCTGTCACAGACTGTAGTTCCCATTACGAACTCTTAATACGTAAATTAAAACAATTCCGGTGAATAATGACGCTAAAATCATCAAAATACCGAATTTTGGGAGGTACCGTTATATGGGGGCTATACGAAGACGTGGACCTGCACAGACAATTTTCTGTCATAGGCTGTAGTATCCATTACGAATCTCAAATACCAAATTTGAAACAATTCCGGTTAAATAATGTCGCTAAAATCATCAAAATACCGAATATAGGGAGGTACCGATATATGGGGGCTATACGAAGACGTTGACATGCACCGACAAATTTTTTCCTTATGCTGTAGTATTCATTACGAATTTCAAATACCAAATTTAAAACAATTCCGGTGAGTAATGTTGCAAAAATCATCACAATACCGAATATCGGGAGGTACCGTTATATGGGGGCTATACGAAGACATGGACCTGCTCAGATAATTTTCTGTCATAGGGTGTAGTATCCATTTCGAACTTCAAATACCAAAGTTGAAACAATTCCGGTGAATAATGTCGCTAAAATCATCAAAATACCGAATATCGGGAGGTACCGTTATATGGGGGCTATATGAAAACGTGGACCTACATGGCCCATTTACGAACTTAACCTGCCTACTGGACAAATAAACACGTGTGCAAAATTTTAGCCTTCTATCTCAATTCGTTCGAAAGATAGCGTGATTAAAACAGACATACAGACAGACGGACATGGCAAAATCGACTTAGAATTTTACGCTGATCAAGAATATATATACTTTGTTGGGTCTGACATTAGTACTTCGAGGAGTTACAAACGGAATGACAAAGTTAATATACCCTCCATAGTATGGTGGAGGGTATAAAAAATCGGACAAAATCAATTAACCGAAAAGTAAACTGTTTTTGTTGCACCTCAAAGTGTTTAGTGGTGAGATAAAGCTGGATTTCTATAATTCCTATTTAGAAAAGTACAAAAGGGCACTAATTGTGATACCGATACTATTGAGTGATTGGGAGATGATTAACAAAAAGTTGTGCCGGAAATTTGTAATAGAAGTGTACGAAAAGTACTAAATATGGGCCAAATTGTATTTGGCGAACGGATACAGTGGAAATTCTGAAATCTAGAATGAGGAGGAGTGTAGCATAGATGTGCCATAGGGTTTCTAGGAAAAGTACTGCGTAATTGGTACCACAACTAATAGTTTTTATGGAAAGTATGTCTGATATAAGTAGGTGAGGAAATGACCTGGAATTATAAATTGTGCTTTTAGAAAACCTTGAATGTTAAGCATTTAGATAAGGACGTGGATTTGGAATAGCCTTGTATAGTGTAGTGTACAAAAGGTACTAAAATGTACCAAATTTAGTTATATTATGTAAGAAATGCATTGGAATCGTTCATGTCAGTATAAGGATCACCGATCGTACGGAGCTTTGATAAGGGGATGTATTTTGAAATGGATACTACAACGTGTACGAAAAGTACCAAAAAGCGTAGGAACAGAAGTGGAATCGTGAAAAGTAGGAATTGAGGTGGAATTATGAATATTCGTACACGGGTCCACTATGAGTGTGAAGATTAAGACAATGCGATGTGTTTGAAAATATTTAATTTATGGTGTACGAAAAGTACTAAATAGTACTAAATTTGGTATAACAGCGTTACCTAAAATTCGACGTACTCGGTCACACCGCAACAGAAAGAAAATAGACTCAAAAGAGCTAAAGAGTTGCTTCGCTTGGTCGAAAGTGGTGAACTGCCGAATTTGGTTTTCTCCGATGAGAAAACATTTGTTATCCAACAGTTTGTAAAAAGACAAAATGAACATGTTTACTTGCCAAAGAGGTCAGCTGGAAATGTGCACCTTCGGTTGGCCACCAGAACTCAAGCGTAATGGTGTGGGCTGCCATAAAAACCGATGGTCGCTCTCCGCTCCTATTAATCGACCGTGGCATCAGAATAAATGCCGAATATTATCGCGAAAATATTGTGGAGGGTATATTAAAGAAAACATTTTTGACGCAGATCTTGGACATTCCAACAGGACTCAGTACACGCCACCCAAGAATGGTTACAAAATGAGGATCCTCGCTTCATTTCCAGTGCACAATGGACACCAAAATCTCCGGATACCAATCCGTTGGACTATTATGTCTGGAGTATTTTGGAAAGCAAGGTTGGCACTAAAAAATACCAAAGTGTCGATCACCTCATGCATGCGCTTCGACGGGAATGGGCCAAAATACCGCAGTGCAACTATCGGGCAGCGTGTGACGGTTTCATTGGCCCTTAAACGGCCATAATTCGTGTCAATGGTGACCAATTCGTACAAATCTAAACTTATCTAAAATTTGATGCTATTTCTGACATTTTTTGCTTTCATTCAATAAAATCTAAAAAAAATGTGACAAAAATGTTATCTCACCCTGTATAGGTACAGTTTTCGTAATGAGGTGTTTAACGCATTGATAACCTGTAGTCCGAAATTATAAATTTTAGTATTATTATCAACTGTTCGTATGTTGTCTTTCGTATCACAACCCAAGACAGCAAAACTTACCAACTTCACCCCTTGCTCCAAAAATGCTTTGAGGAGGCTCATTTTCGATTCTTTCAAAGGCAATGATAAACTCAGTTATATGGCTAAAAAGATCAGCCTGCACATTTTCAAATATCCTGTGACACTATGAATAGAATATTCTCGATCGTATGCAAATGGCTCGTCCTTTTGAGCACTAAAAATATAAGTTAGACTTGAGACTTTATTCCATATGAGTTTATCTTTCAGTATTTCTTTTTCTTTGTCTGTGACTACTCATTAAATGTCCATTATATGTCTTGTGAAATAAGCGAATAAATCCTTTGTCGGCCAACATGGTTCTATCGGCTTTTCTTTAAAGTGTTGTGTCAATTATCCTCTTAATTTTCTTCACTTCATTTCCAACTACCTGTGCTCACCACCAGCTGCATGTTTTAAAAAGAATAAAATGTGGTTATCCTTAATGGCGACAATTTAACCAGGCAACCTTGCACATTCATGAAAAAGAAGCCTTTTCATTATTTTATTTATATTTCTTTGTAACATGGAAATTCAAACCTAAATTAGGACACTTTAAGAACGTGGAAATATTTATAAAAAATAATTCTCCAGAAAAATATCTCCACTCTTCCTCAAGTACGCATTTCCAGTTAATTTTAAATGCTAAGAAATTTCAAGATCTGATTTCGAGGAATTTAAACGGTAAACAGATTATGTCGACCTCACGTGTTTTACGAGGTATACATTTAAGTCCTCTTGCCACCACACTGTGCTTTTATTTAAGTTTAACGTTTAATGTCCCCCACCCCCCATTACGTATATCCTTGGATGGTGCAACGAATTTTCCAAAAGAATACCAGTGGAAAATCTAGGTTATTTCCTTCCTTAGCTCTTGGACGTAACGAGTTAATTGCATTGCAATTGTTCTGCAAAAATCAGAGAGAAAGAGAACATTTCCAAGGATTTTATTATGCAAATAACGGCATGCAGCCACACCCCCAGGAAGACTAAGAAAATCTTATTATTTTTGAAGAAATTTAATTTAACTTAAATTTACACCAAAATGTTGAAAACTATTCTTTTGTAATATCTCCTTGTTCTGGCGCTGTGGAACGAACATCCATCCACCTTGAGCTCTTGGTCACATGACAAACATTTGTTCAACCTTCGCTCCAACTGGTTACAGTAACTTGAGAATGAAAGCTACTTTGGCCAGCAAACGCTGTTAGTTCATCGATAGTAGATTCCCACTTGTGATTCCCATTTGTTGTGTACTTGACTACTGGTTTTCCTTTGCCTTTGAATGGTGGACGCTCTCCTATGGCCATTGAAACAATCGGAGTGGTGGCAGGAACGGTAACAGCAGTATTGGTTTCTTTGAAGTGATTCCACTTGAGAGTGCTCAATACAGGGGAAACGATAAATAATCTTCCATTGCTGGTAGTGGTAGTGGTGGTGTCGATTGTTTTTTGCTGGAATGAATGGTGAAACTTTAGAAAATGGGTCGCACTGGGTGGTTGGAATGTTATCGCAATGTTGCTTCCTTCTTATCAGATATAAGCAATGAATGTCCGTCCCTCTGCCACCTCCAACACTACAAGCTATCATTGCAATCATTTTTCACTCGTGGTGGTGGCGGTGGTCAGTAGTTCTTGTTGTCAGTGCCAATCGAAAACAAAAACAAAACAGATTGCAGCTGCTACTCATTCCATTCTAAACTGTGTCATTCTCCAAGTGCAAGTGGGTTTGCCAATGGATGACCATCTCCCCCTCCCCTAATTTGCTGAGCTCTTGAAATGCTGCCATTGATATTTTTGTAATAGATTATCTCCATTTTCGGTTTTCTTGCAGGATGATTATGTCGATGACGAGCCCTATCGCAATGCGCTCGACGAAGAAATGCAAGGTGATGCACCCGGTGTACTGACGGAGCAAAAATACCAGGAACTTGGCAATGAAAAGGGAGTTCAGCAAGCTCGAGAACGCTACATCCAGGAACAAAAGAGGCCGAGTAAGTATCGCTTGTCATAAATGAATGAACTTCTTTTGCGGTACCATGAATCAGGGAATCGATCGATGAATGGCAAACTGACAGAATGAGTTAATGAATGAATACGTGCTGCATTCGCGCGAATACACACAAACAAACACTCACGCACACATGCCTGTCGTTGTGTTCATTACGCATTCAGGCATTGTTCATTGTTCAGTCGCTTTTATTTGCATTTAGAAGTAATTAATTGTCGCTTCATAAAACACTGTTTTATTATCCAGATGCGGTATCGGACCTTAAATGGCCACGATTGGAGGAATGTCGTCTTAATTGCTTGCTATTCAAATTAGACGTGATGAAGATATGCCGGCAACAGATTAATTAACCGGCAATGATTCGCTCGATTGTCTGGTGTCTGGCCCAACGATTTGTGGCCACAATTGCTGAACGAAAGGTTAATTTGTGGGTTAACTTTGGATTTTCATGCAATGAAGAAATATTCTGTTTCGTGTTGCAGAGAGTGTTGAATGTTGTCCTATATCTTAATTATAACCTCGGCTTAATTCGTACAGAGGGTACCGTATGAAAAGAGCAAAAATTTGATTCATAAAATTGAGACATTTACATTTTCTTAAGGTTTCATAGAAAATACTGTACAAAGGCCACAATAATAAAAAAACAGGTTAAAAAGCACCATCATTGCCGAAAGATGTATACAGTACCCTCAGCTAATGTTCGATTATTTCAACATATTTTGACCCTCTGTGGTGTAGGTTCCGATGGAATGTTCCAATATTGTCCATTTCACATCGGACCTAAATAATTATGATATAAATATTGCGACGTGTCAGGTTTGGACAATATCGGGTAGCTCCTTCAACTTATATGAGATAAGTGATAATTTTTAAAAAATGTTGAAATGTGCGTTGTTTTTCAAAATCTTGAACCCTATGTGGGGGAGGTACCGGAAGAAATTGCCCGATCTCTACCATCTATATAACATATCTTGTTTTGATGTTCGTATTGCGATATACCAAGTCTGAATGGAATCGGATGTTAATTTCGCGTTTTATGAGCTTCATGGATATTCATAATTTTGACCCTTTGTGAGGGAGGTACCACAAGGAGTGGACCGATATATTCCATCGTCACAGCAGATCGTGTGTTAGAAATAATGGGATGTGTGAAATATAAAGAGAGTCAGAGGCTTCTTTCGGATTATATGGTGGTTTTGGTTATTCAAAACTTTGATCCTTTGTGGGGGAGGTACCAGAAGGAATGGTTCGATCTCTATCATGTTTATAACAGATCTTGTGTTGATAGAAATATTGTGATGTCTCAAGTCCAAATTGAATCTGAAATTAATTTCGTGTTTTGTTAGCTTCATGGATATTTAAAATGTTGATCCTTTGAGGAGGAGGTACCAGAAGGAGTGGACTGATATACCCCATCTTCACACCAGACCTTTGGTTAATAAAAATATTGTGATGTGAATAATTTGAAGACAATCGAGCTCTTATATAATTATTCAAAATTTTGACCCTTTGTGGGGGAGGTACCAGAAAGAGTGGACCGATATAGCCCATCTCCGTAAACGATCCAAATTTGAGAATAATATTACGATGTACCTGGTTCGGATTAAAACGAATTCATCGAGAGTTATCGTGCCCACCATCCAGCAGGCAGACAGACGGACGGAAGGACGGACATCGCTAGATCGACTCCAAATGTCCTGAAACGGATGTGGTCCAAAGAGACCTAGGGTCTAAAACAGTTATTTCTCTCCCTCGAAAAGAGGGAGAGATATTCCGGCTTCGAAAAAATAATAATTGTTAACTTCTTCTTCAATTCACAATTTTGTATAAATATAACACGAACAGAATATCTTCATACTTTGGCACCTCTAAAAGTGGGACATATTGACCCATTTTTTTCGGTGAGTTCCGAGAAACAGCCAGAACTTTAAAGAAAGTTATAGAGGGAACGGAATCCATGATTTTACCCACTTATGGCACATTGCATCAAGTGTCCTGAATTTAAATGTTGATAACTCTAAATAAAGTAAAAACGCTTATGTCCGGCCAGATCGAACTTTTAATATACCCTACTATGGGGTTCGGAAATCCTCTCGCAGTTTAAGGTGTACTCCTTCGAAGGATGAAAAATTCACTAAAAGTCCTCACAACTACATAGACAATTTCAGCTCCGGGTTGTGGTATATTGCGAATTTCAAATACCCACATTGAAAGTATGCTTTTGAACAATGTGGCTAAAATCATCAACATACTTAATACGTAATATGGGGGTAAATGAAAATATTCTACCATCGGAGGAAGAACTTATTTCTAAATATAAATATCCAATTTTAAATAAAATCGTTGGAAAATATTGCTATAATCGCCAAAATACTGAACATATGGCATTTATAAATTTAGAAGTCTATAAGAAAACGTGGGCCATTGCGACATCTAAATATCAAATATTCGTAAGAAAGTGTTTGTGAAATCGTCAAAATACCGATTATCAGGAGGTACCCGTATATGGCATGATCTAGTAAAAAACATTTCATGCCAAAAGTACTAAAATTGTCAGAATAGTAGTAATCTTGAGAAGGAGAAATTGTAGATTATCGTGAATTTCCTTTAAGGTGAAAAGTTCCTCGATTTGGCCCTGACTTAGCACATTCTAATATAAAATTTTAATTCAGACTTATATCTACATATATTAGGTCCACACCGTTCTTCATTGGTGTTAAGATTTTGGGCCTAAAATTGCTTTGAACGAATATACGTAACTATCAAAGTTAGTAACCGGAAAAATGATCAGTATTTCCCAAATTTAGATTCAACTTAGGTTAATTTTAAATATGGACCTTACAGATCTACTCTTTCTGATACCACAAATTGTAAACATTGAAATCTTTGTCCCCAAATTAACTGAACATTCCACATCATAATATTTGTGTGAAAAGAATTTTGTCAGCTTATCTAAGAATTTTCATAACACACTAGATCTTTTCTCATGAAAATTAAAAAGAAAAATCCTCCCATGTCTCAAAGCCTCTTATTTTTCGCTTCACGTCAATTTAAAAGATTCCCAATGATTATCGCCTTCTTTTTGAAATCAAACGATTGGTAAATGAAAAAGTGCATTATCAGGCAACAGTAAACCGTTAATGTTGTAACAACATTCGTACAAGGCACAAACACACATACTTTGTCAATAATATGTATGTTTGTATGTATGTATGTACATATATTACAAAATACATGTTTTTGTTTGTTCCTCCTATCATCCGTGTGATCATACAACAATATAGCACTTCGACCAGAAGGAACATCTGTTTGACTAACGTATCTCTCTCTTTCACTCTGGTCGACAACTAACCTCCGGGACGGGTAAGGAGAGACATGGAATAAAAGACAAGTTAAGAATCTTTTGCTCCGTGTCTTTTAACCACATTGCCTGGCAAAGCTAATATAACCACGAGAACATAATCATTAACATGACTTAGCTATTGTTTTTGTTTCTTTTGCGCTATCGTATTCACACTCTGCTACCAAAGACCTAGATGTCTTGCGACAATACAACAATGGACATTGGGGTGGTAAATGACGTTAGTTGTGGGAAATTCGAAGATATAGACCTCAAAGTAATATCAAGTAAATATACATAAACAATTGCAATGAAATTGTTGTTGTAGGAGGGAGAGATGTTTAAAAAACTTTAAAAAAATCCGAAAGTTATAAGTATCAGTCAGCCAACGTTCGATTGTTTAAATATATTTTGACTTCTGTTATGATTGTTTAAATTGTTGACCCTGGAGTAGTTTTCGAAGGAATGGGCCAATATTTACCATTTTGTATCGCACCTAAATCAATATGATATAAATATTGAGATGTTCAAGGTTTGGACTGTATTGGTTGCTTCCTGCACTTTGTAGGATATGTGTGCTAATTTTTCGAAAATGTTGAAATATACGTGAATTACCAGATATAGTGGAACAATTATTGATATGAGAAAAAGTTACAAAAAAAAAAAAATCAAAAAATATCCAATTTTATGCAAAATCATAAATTCCATATTCATCTTAGGTTTTTGGTTGGTTAGGCTTTATATATATTTCCATCACACATACTTTTATATATATATATATATATATATATATATATATATAAAAGTATGTGTGATGGAAATATTGAGATGTACTAAAACTGAATGGAATCGGATGTTAATTTCGCGTTTTATGAGCTTAATGGGTATTCAAAATGATGACCCTTTGTGGAGGAGGTATCAGAAAGAGTGGACCGATATATTCCATCTTCACGCCAGGCCTTAAGTTAATAAAAACATTGTGATCTGTGTAATTTGAAGACAATTAGAGATATAATTTTTTAAAATTTGGTCCCTTTGTGTCGGAGGTACTTGGTACAGTAGACCGACATTGTCCATTTTCGCTGCCGGAATCGGTCAATAAACTTTTTTACACTTTCGGCATATGAAGGTACCCCTAATCGTTAGGGTTTTGGCGAACTTTTTTAAAAACACAAATTGGAAATACCACCTTATTTAAGTACTTTGATGGTTTTATCAACGAAATTGGAGATAAGTTAAAAATTAGAAATCTGACATGTTCTATTATTGGCCTCATGTAATAGTAACATCTAATATCCAACTGACTTGGATAATGTGGTACTTTAAAATGGTATTTTACATAATGTGACATTTTAAGAAAAAATGTTCCAAAACGGTATATTGACATTCATATTTTTAGAGAACAGAGCTTCGCCCGAATACTGTATTTCGGCTATGTTACAATGTTGCTTCAAGCCAAAATATGTCGCTTGTGACCAATTTGATTCACTATAATCAAAATACACACACCAAGCATTAGTTTGAGGAGATGTTAGCGAACAAAGTTTTTCGGTATACCCCAATAAATTCAAAGTCATGTATGGCCATTAACTTGTATCAAGTGACTTTTTTTAGTTTTTGTTTCCAAAGAATCTATACGAACA